GTGTGTGTGTCTGTGTGTGTTTACAGTAGCAGTTAGTTAGTTGCTACTTTGTTTTTAGGGCTGTGGAGTGAGGTCCATCTCTGTGTGGCTAATCAGCAGAAAATGACTGACCAGGGAAGAACCTTCCACATACAGAATCCATGCATGGTTGTTGCAGTTCTGCAGTTCAGCCAGCTTAGAAACATTTCTGAGCTGTGTGTAAGTGTGTATTGGGCTGTGAATAGCAGCATTGTTTAGAGTACAAACACAAATCCGACACACAAGAATAAACATGGCAAGAGAGAAGCTTTCCCCTTCTAATGTAGATGCTACAGTACAGCTGGGACATATATGTACCATTATATGGACTTGGCTACACCATTTGTTTCAGTATAGGATGTACTTTACTTGTGCTCTGTGGATATTTACAAATTTGTATTACTGAAGGAACTAATATTTGATAATATACTGGTAGTAAATGGCTACTATTCTGTTAAGTGTGGATCTAAGTCACATAGTATTAAATTATTGGGTGGCGGGGGGTATATCTCAGGGTTCCCATGTGTCCTGGATTAGTTTTCCAATCACAGAAACACTTATAATAATGTGTATATATACATATAATAATTTATGAAATAAAATACTTTTTTTTTATTGTATTTTAGCTCCGCACTCACATTGCCAAATTTTTAGTTCAGATAAATTCTACTTGATTTGAACTGTGACTTTAGAGGAAAACTGTTGCAAAGTGTAGTCAATTCGCCGGAGGCCGCAGTGAAAAGATCAGCTATGGTGAGGACAGTCAAGCGCACCACAAAAGCGAGCTAACGCGGAGTGTCCCATATAAAACACTGACGACCTGTGTCTTAAGGACCCCCTCGAAAATGAGATGCTGCATCTCAAGGGGCTATCCTTTTAATACATTCAAATTGACCTACCTGTAGTAAACCTGAGACACTTTGTTATGAACCCTGCATCGTTGAAAAAAGAAGTCAATACTAGGCTTACTAGTAAATGACGTTTGGGAGCAAGTGCTGTCCTGTATTGTCAATAAAAACTCCTAGAAAATAATTTCTTAGCGTGGTCACCCATTATTATTATTATTGTGTATCAAATGTCTGTTTAATATTGTGATGATATGATCTTTTCACATTCATTTATACATGGCTCTGCATTAAGTATATGAGAATATGATTTAACTTGTGCAGTTAGCCATAACATAGTTGTATCAACAGGTTAACATACATAATAAATCCACTGCCTACATTTACAGAGATGTTTATTTATAATGATTAATCTTCAGGTATGTTTATGTATGCCATTGTTCACTGTATGTCTTTGTGCTTGTGTCAGGCAGCACAGAAGCTGCAGTGACTCTCTGTGTCATG